ATACTATAGTGACACGTTTGAAAGCTTCGGTACCAACTTGACATTACCCCCAAAGTTAAGGATACTAAAGTGGAATTTTCCTTATTTTAAACACAAGATACACAGCTGAAATAGGAATTTCTCTGAAATATGGGTGCCATCACCACAGCTGAATCAATACACCTCACCTCCAATGTAGTGTCCTCCCAAACGGGCTTTTGCTCTGAAGTTTTAAGTTTGGGAGTGCTTATACTAATAAGCACTTATATGTGTTAGGTTGAAAAACACTTATTTTAAATAGGGGTATAGCTATTTTTAAAATGATTTGGGTGGGCCAAGATAGGCCAGAAAGGAATAAACACGTGGAGATAAACCCAAAATTAAGATTTCTCAAATGCAAATAAGTGCTTATTAGTATGGTTTCGATCCAAAACAAGTACTTATTCGAATAGGCACTTATTTAGTTTTAATAAGTCTCAATCTTAGCCATAATCTCTCTAGTGGTTATAAAGGATGATGCACTAGTGATAGTTAATCTTCTATTGGTAGGAAGTAAGGATCCACAGTGGTGGTTTTTTTTCTAGCCAATTGCAGGAATCTATTGCAGTGCCTTCATAAATTTCTGTTGTGGCTAGGTGAACTAATTAAGTTGAGAATTTGTCAAATTTTCAATGGACCCAAACCCTAATCCGAACTCAATGTAATTGAAATTCTTAGCTTCTTGCCCGATTTGCAGCCCTCTACTAATAATGCTGCTTATATTGTCAATCAGCATTTTTCACATCTTACTCTCTTTAGCCTATTTTTTAAGATCTACCATTGCAAGAGATTGTATGGTCGAGCAAGTAGTCTAGCTCACTTTAATCAAAGGCCTATAGTTGACATCGGATTGGCTGGAGACAAAATCATGCAAACTGGGCTAGGGCTATCTATCATGAGTGAACACACTACTATTCATTATGGACCCCATCTGGACTGAACACTAGTGTGTTCACTCGTAGTGAAGCCATTTGAGCAGGCAGTGATTAARATGGTATATGTGACATCTTGGTAATCGACTGTATGGCCTTTTTTATCCCCAAAAATTTACTCCTGGGTGATTGTATGGCCTTTTTCTCCCCCCAAAATTTATCCGGATAAGTGTTTTCCAGATAAAAAGAGAAGTGGAAGTGTGAGAATGCTTACCAATGCAGTTAAGAATAGATGGATAAGTAATTTATTCAACAGCTGCCCGGATAACTGATACCCTCGAAAATCTTCACTTACCTGGATTACTGGTTGACTACTTTAGCCCTAACTGACGAACGAGGCCAACTCATGAATACCGAATCTGCGAGTTCAAATCAGCCCCCCAGAGGGCGCCCCACAACGTCCTATAGCATATCTCTGCCGTGTATTAAAAATATCTTCTGATCATCATCGGGTGATGTTCTCGGTACATGGTGAGGGAGGGAGGGGGGCTGATTTGAACTCCGAATCCGCACTGCATGCAGCAGGGGTTATCACCTGCACAAACTTCAGGCTTACCGGTGAACTACATGTCTTATAATTGTTTCTCTTTTAACAAGACACTGTAATTCATTAGAGGTGCATATATAGTATATGTTGGTCTTCTACTTAGTTCAAACCAAGACATTCAAGGAGGAACCCAGTAGATAATTGAAAATAGTAAAAATACATCAGATGTAGATAGGGATATCAACGGGTCGGGTTTGGCATGGGTTTGCCTCAACCCTAATCCGACCCTCCAGCACTCCAACTCGAATTCAACCCGATTTGGCACAAACATGATTCCCAAACCCAATCCAACCCTATAGGGTTTAACCCGATGTTGATCCGACTCGACTTGTAGTATTTTAAATGTATTTTTTAACACATTTTGAGGACTTAAAATACATTAATTTAAGTTAGAAAATTGCTTTTTATAGATTATAAGGTGTTATTTTTTTCTATTTAAAAAAAAAGAAAGCCAAAATCAACATGTAAATAAATCACATACTTGAAGTTTATAAAGTTAAAAGTCAAAAAATTGCAAGAATACTTGGTATATATACAGGGTATCATGACTCAATGGGGACGGATCAACCAAAACCCGAACCTGAACCCTATTTAGATCAAAGAATCAAAACCCTAACCTGACCCTAAAACCAAATTTACATAACCCAAACCCAACTCTATCAAGCCGGGTTTACCATTTAACCCAACCCATTGACATCCCTAGATGTGAAATTTATGATTAGTCAGCTAATTAAGTGCCCACTTGGGAGGGCTATCTGGATGCAACTTTGGCATTAAGGTGGTTCCATATGGGAATGTCTAAAGCTGTATTTGGTAAAAATCCAAAAAGCCAACATGAGCTTTTAGAATGTCCAAATCACTACTCAAATATGAAGCTACTATTAGTAATTTTTTCCAGAACACCGATGCTCAACCACCGTCGTTCAATTAACACAATGCATTCCAAACAAAGAAGCCTTCCCAAATGGGCTCTAAAAAACTGGTTACTTCTTTAATGACTGTATTTACATCCGGCAACTATGACTTGTAATGAGCTGATATTTGATGGTATTCCATATATTCAAACCCAACCAGTGTTATTTCAAAAGGCTAATGCCTCCATCGAGATTTTACTAGCTTCTCTAATACAGTAGTATACTCGTCACGGGAACGTAACCTATCAATGTATCCTTATAAGTGTGCACATCTTGGTGCCAACCACCCTGCACAGAATTAAAATTAATGTTTGATGTTTCGGTATTCATGACCAGTTATCACTATTGTGTATTTTATTTTGTGGACATTTTGTGATAGATATTTATTAAAATGCCGTTATGTCATCGTTATATCAGCATTTTTCTTATTATATTCATTCGTATACATTAATATTCACAAAAATGTGTTTCGATTTATGTGTTTATCCACCGTTAGAAGAAGATTCATTTTAATGCTTTYCCTAACGATTAAGTATTTATTCACTATTCCACTGATGTAGCGTTTAATTGTCAATAAACAATTTGTCAAGTACTTTTCTCGATTTTGAAAACAAATCAAGTAAAAATACTTATTTAATAAAGAAAAGCTATACCAAACACATACTAAGGTAGCTGCTGTCACGTTCAATCCTCTGTGAGCATATAAAGGCTCCTATTTGCTAGAGCTTCTCCTATACCAGAGGCCGGAGCTTTTGTAGAAGGCAAGCTGCAGCTTTCATTTACCACCATAATTGAAGGTGGTCTCAAATGCATGGTTATTACATTTTAATGAAAGACACAAATTTTTAAGGTTCGTGTTTGAATGACAAAGCACAATTTTTAATTGAACTTCACATTTATTATTTATATTTTGACCAGCAAGCATTTGTAGTCCAACGGTTAGGATAATTGCCTTCCAAGCAATAGACCCGGGTTCCGCTCCCGGAAAACGCATCTCTTATTTTACTATGAATGAAAAATTATTTGAGGCCAAGTCTAGTTTTTGTACATGGGTTAAACTTACATTCTGTTGTTAGTGTGTTTTCAACTCTGCAACGTTGTGTTTCTAACTCTTTACAGGGAAGAAATAAAAACAGGAGTGTGGATGTAGTTAATATATATCCATCCAAATTCCTTTATATTCAATGTGATCAAGGAGCTTATGGATTTTGTGTTTTCCGATCGAATAAAGTGTTTCTCTTGGCTGCAGCCTGCAGGTGCTAGCTAAGCTTGGTTAAGGTCTTCTAGAAGCTCAAATAGGAGATATATTCTAAGCAGTCTCTTTTGGGAAAGCCAGGGATGGACTAATTTGATAGTTTTTTCTGACTCAAAGAATACGGTGGAAGCTTTAAAAGGGATGAAAATAATACTTTGTGGCCTTCTACATATAAAACAGTGACCTTTTTGACGGTAGTTCATATGGTAGCCCAAAAGGCTAAGGGCCCATTTGGCAAGTCTTTTTGAGAAGATCTTCTCGTAGCATTGAGCTTTTGACATAAGATCACAGTCCGAAGATTGTTTGGCAGATGCGTATCTTTCCGTGCATCATTTTGGGYCTTTCTGCATGAGATTAAAACGTGAAAGATGCGAGAAGTTTCATTTGAAACTTCCTGAAATCAGCCCAAAATGGGCTTCACACATCTTTTCGGAGCCACGTTTTTTGGCAGCTAGATCTTCGCATGCCAAACGGGAATAGACTGATTTTTAGTCTTCCCAACTTGTAAACAGCCGAAAGACCGCACAAAAAAACACATCAAACGGCACTTAAATGTTTAGTAGATGGTAGGTTTTGGTTGTCCTTTCCACCTAGTTGGATTGAACCTTTTATATGTAATGTTTCGTTTTAGTTGTTAATGATACTCTCTAATTATCAAAATGAAAATTAAGTTAATTATAACCCAATATGAATTCGATGGATAAGATTCAATTTGAACTAGAATATTAATCAATTAAATTTTGATATAGGTTATAAACAATTTGATCCCATCCATTTGCAGCCCTTAATGAGAGAGGTTGGTAATTGTTGTAGGGTCGGCCGCCAACTTTGATAATAACCCTCTTTCTTGTTCGTCTTTTTTCTTTCTTTTGAAAGCCTCCCTCTTCCCATATTCAAGCTTCGGACTAGCAGTTGGATGAGATACCTTTTAACTCGAAAAAGGAAGGAATTTTGTCTCATTTTTTTTGTTATTAAAAAGCAGAAAGGAATTAAATATAGCCAATTTCCCCTTTTGGAAAGATCGTAGCTTCTAGCATTTTATCATCCCACAAAACTTGTATTGGATGTTTGAAATGTTACATCTCAAAGTTCACTATCCATTTGTTTCTTTCTACTATGCAATGACAATGCATGATATGATATGTTTATAAATCATACTCAGTTCTGTTCACTTAAACATAACTGTAGGGCATGCTCTGCTTCCTTAAGGAAAAGACGAGTAAGTTGCTTTTGCCCTCGTCGATACACAATACTAGCCCACTTGTTTCTACTCATTATCCGCTCTTGATCAACGCTGTCTGTGCCTCTGCATTAACAACTCAAAACAGAAATGCACATTCAAAGATCAATTGCTGTTTCAAAACCCAAATAAGCCGCTGGATACACGTAGGGTGTTGCATGCAATATCTTTCAACAGAAGGGGAAAAAAAAAGAAATGCATGTCACCTATCAGATGTTCACTGAAATGACAAAACGTAGTTGCAGAGTTGCTGCTCATTGAGGCAAGGTTTGACCCAATCCACAAACCCACCTGAAACACTATCCGATTTTCCAAGGTTACCTTGGCATGTCTCAACCCAAATGATAAACCGGTTATCTTTTTATCAGCATTATCATCCTTCAACCAATCAGGATGGACCCGGGATAGTTAATTGTTGAAGCAACCAACTAAATCTTCAGATTTTCCAGATTGGTTCTAGCAGTTTTTCGGTTCACTAATCAAAGGGTTGGATTGAACATTTGCAAACCTATAAGCTTGAACTAAAGCAACCGATCACCTCTAGTATCAGGACAAATAACAGAACAGTAGGTTTCCAATGTCAACGTTTGTTTCCTTGCATGTATGCAAATAAATGAAGGCTGACTGATTTTCTCTGATCAACAACAAAATTTTATCAATGACAGAAATGAATACGAAACAAGGTGCCTCAAAAACAAAGAGCATACCTATTCAAAGGAAAAATAGGATACACTTTTCTGTAGGGAAAATAGAGATACAAYAGACAATAGTAAAAATAACACAAGAGAACTAGGTTGGAATATAATATATCCACTATGACTATACTCTCTGCACCCTGCCCCTATCTAAACTATCAGCCAACAAATTGGCTAACTTTGGGATCCAAAAGGCAAGTGTAAATGTAGCACGTGTTTGTCTAATACTACTTGCAACTTTGATTAGTATAAACACAACTAGCACCCCTATCATATGGTAAATGCTGGCAATCTTCATGATCGATAGAACAGCACTTGTAAGTAGCTAGTTAGGAATGTCAAGATTCAGAAAAGCGGGGATTAGCCCTGAAAAATCAGAATTTTTCAATTAAAATGTTCCAAGTCAAATGCTTCTCTGTTGGAGAATGTGTGCTGGTATGGCTAGTTCATGAGCTAGGCTTGACCAAGCCTGAGCCTAAATTTGAGATCATTTGTCTAAACAAGGCTGGGCTCAGCACAACTTTATCTTGGCTCTCTTAGATACTATAAGATACTAGTAAACGTGGATGTGCGTTGCATGTTAAAATTTCAAATTACAATGGAAATTATTATCATCACCATTATTTAATTTAGTATTCCATTTCCATGATAAATAATACAATTTTTTAATTTAGTATTCCATTTCAAATTACTCTTCATTTTTTGTGTTCTATCTTTTTTAAATATTTATTATTCAATTATGACATCATCATGAGTTTATTTGAAAAGCTTGATCATTGACCCACCATCTAGATAGGAAAATAGCTTTGCTTTCAGATCAATTTTAAATTATATATTTCATCTACATTATATAAATAATATTTGTTTATCATACTTAATTTTTATTTGATATAATTAGTAATATAATATTAGATATGTGTCCAAATTTTTTTATAATTTTAATATTTTTTATTCTTTGTACCTTTTTTTATTTTCTTAAAAATATATTATTTTACTATAACATCATTGGTTAATCCATTTGATTCAAACCACTAACCCACCACCCAAACCATTTATTATTGCATTTCCATCATTAATAAAATTATGTATAATACTTATTTTTGTCCAATATAATGAATGTATAATATTATAGATGGGCCCAATATTTTACTTTTTTTTATAAATTTATAACATCAAATATGTGCCCAAATTGTTCTCTAATTTTTTCTTTATTTTTGTGATTTTTTGTATTATGTTAAAAATTTTATTATTTGACTATGACATCATTTAATTTAATTTCAATGTTTATTTTAGATTTTTAATTCCACTTTCATCGTTAATAAAAATATTTTCTACATTTTATAGTTAATTTTATTTAGTATAATGAATATATAATATTAGAGATATGCTCAATTTCTTTTTTTTTGGATTCTTATATATTAATTATTTTGATTTTTTTATTATTTAATTATGGCATTATTGGTTAACCCATTTAACCCAAATGGTTGAATTGCTTCCCCACCACCGGGAGGGAAGAAAATAGTTTTGTTTTCAAATTATTTTTCAAAATATTTATTTTTATACTATTAAAATCAATGTTGAGTATTTGATTAATAGAATTTAATGATGAGAAAAATACATCTTAAATATGGGATTTAATGAGAAAATATACCTTAGATATGAGACTTAATGAGAGAGAATAAGAAAATAATTTACTTTCCAATATGTTTTAAATTTTATATTTCATTTCCATCATTAATAAAAGTATTTCTTATTATCATACTTATTCTTGTCTAATATGATGAATATATGATATTAAAGATGTTCCTAAATTTTTCTATAATTTCTATATCTTTTGCATTTTATCAAGTTTTAATTTTTTTTTTATTATTTAATTGTGGCAACAACGCAACATGGGTTGGCCCATTTGACCCAAAAGTACAACACATAACACGTAAAGTGTATTCAAATGAAATTAAAAATAAAACCAAACATACAACACATTTTCAAGCATGTAAAGCCCACAATCTCTTTTTTTCTTCAATTGCATTACTTCAAGTAGCTAATGTGATGTAAAACATATTGCATTCTTGATTCTACAAGCCACCTTTGTACCAAACTCCTCGAGGCAAGCCCAAGCAAGTCCATGTTAGAATCTTAAATTCTTAATTCTCACGCAAAAAATAATAATTTTATACTTTTAAGAAGATATTTTATTAGAATGAATGAATGACCAACATTAGCAAATAGGGGATTCTCAGAGTCCCTAGGTTCAAAAAAACAAAAAATAAAGAAGTGTAAAAATTTAAAAAAGGTGCATGCCTAGGCTGAGGCACATGGCGCACCAGGTTGCACACACCAGGTGTGCGCCTTTTCAAAGTGCACCTAGGACCTAGGCAAGGCGTATACCCTGAAATGTGCCTCACCCGAGGTGCGCCTCTTAAATCACTGGGTCAACCCAAGATTTAACCATCATTTACACCTAGCAATGACCCTTAATTAATATATTACATAAGATAACTGTTAATATTGCAACTTTGGTTATTTTCTTTTCTTTTAATGTATATTAGTAATGTGCTATATTTTGGGTTTTAGTGGTCCTAATCATGGTTCAAAGTATCGATATGCCCGTGTATCGGTAGAGGCCTATCAATACTAAAAAGCATGTGCTTTTATATTTTATTTTTGTTTTTTTTTTCAAAAATTGGTATTTGGGGAGGTCTTATGCATATTTTTTTTATTAAAAAAAGAGTTCCCAAAACACCTGTAAACAGGTGTATTGGGAACCCAAAGATACAATACAGGCGTATCGAAATGTCGATCCTTGGTGCTAATACCAAAATGCTGTGTAAAATAAGAAGAGACTAGCCTAGCATGTGCATGACTACATGAACCTGAGATCAATTATTAATTCACAAGCCAAAGCCAATTTGGGCTTAGCTTGGAACATCAGGCTTGTCGTATCAAAATTTTGATCCTTGGTCCTAATACCAAAATGCTGTGTAAAATAAGAAGAGGTTAGCCTATCATGTGCTTGACTACATGAACCTGAGCTCAAGTATTAATTCACGAGCCCAAGCCAATTTGGGCTTAGCTTGTCACATTTACAGCCCTAGATGTCACTATGTTACTAACTGATCCCAGAAAAGGCTTTGTTGGCCAGCATCCAAGAGAAAACCAGATTCACAACATTTTTTCAGAAATACTATGGATGACTCTTTGTTGTCCAAAATTCTTTTGTTTCATTCTTCCAAATGCAACATTCGACTGGTGAATCACAATTTACAGAAGATGTTTCCCCTCTTCCCCATCATTTTACCTTTCCATTGGAAAATGAAGTCACACACTGAATTTGGAGGGACCCAATAGTAGCTTCCATCGTGGGTCAAGTCTAGGAAGAATTGCCACAAGGAACAAATTACCTTGCAATTTATGAGCAGATGTCCAATTGATTCTCCATCATGCTGGCATATAACACAAATATGGGGAGAGACATAAAGCCCCCTCCCCCTTTCTTTGGATAACATCATAGGTGTTGAAATGACCAAAAGCTGCTCCAAAATGAAGAAAGCAATTCTGGGAAGAACCAAAGAGCTCCAGATTCTCTTCACTGAGAAGGGAGGTGGAGAGGGCCCAGCAGCCAGCCAACTAAAGTAGGATTTGATAGAGAAGGACCCCATTGGTTGTCATGGATCAAATTAGCTTGTCCAGGTTAGAGGGAGATAGGAAGACTTTAGAGAGCTAAAGGAGAAGGGAGGAGATTTCAGACATCTCAAAGTTCTTTTAGGCCTCTATGGAAGTTGAAATTGAAAGAAAGATCTCGACTGCTCCTAACAAAAAGATGGAAGACACATAGACCAGATTGTCAAGAACCCATCTAAAGAGTCTAGGAAAGGCCAAACTAAGAGGAATAGGACCCCACCACAGATCAGTCCAAAACTTAATTAGAGAACCATTACCAAGAAAGGGAGAGAAATGGGAGTAAGTGAAAGATATATCTTTCCAAGGATGAGCAAAGGTGAAACTGCCTAAAGAACAGGAAAGGCCCCTTTCAAAGCCACTAGATCCATATTTGCTGTGAAACCTCCAAATCTACTTTCCATGAAGAGTGATATTCCATTCAGTGATGTGGCCTAATCCTAAACCTCCTTCCAGTTTAGGCTTGCATACCAACTCCCAATTAACCAGATGAAATGGTGTCAGATTTAACATTAAGAAATCAAAAAACAGGGCAGTTTCATGCTATTTCTAAACATTAGAGAAGTGAGTGGGGAGAAACTTTCAAGTGAGGCTGTCCCAAGTATTTTTCCATCATCATCATCATTGTTGTCATCATTGCTATTGGGAATGTATAAAAAGGACAATATATTACAACCATCTACCCCCTTGATAAAGATGGGCAAGGGATAAAAACCATAAAGACCACCAAAACACCAGAAACCTAATACACATAGAAAAACAAGCTAATGAAAGCAAGAACTGCCCTGATGCAAATAACTCCTGCCTACAAAACCCATGCCAGGCTATCAGCCAGAGAGTTGGCTGACCTTGGGATCCATTTCAGTGGGTGCTCATTCTGGATGTCAAGGTTCTAGCATCTACAAATGAATAATCCAGTTACATAAGATAGAAATTTCTAATACATAAATCACATACCTGATGTACTTTTCAGGCATTTCCATGATGTGGGCCTTTTCAACTAGTTCAGAGTCACTTTCTTCTGTTCCAGAACCTTCTTCAAGTTCCAGCATCCTTGTAAATGAGGAATATAAATAAATTTCATTAAGAAGAATTTTTGCCATATATCCATTAGGAATATAAATGACAAGACATAATGTAAACAACTGATATATCATCAACATCAGGAAAAGAGAATGATGTGCACATTGAATGAGATAGAACTTTGTTTATGCAGCTTAAGCTCATTTATCCCTCTAGTAACTAATATTGAGATAAAAACTTTAGATGTATACACCCTAGCTTGAGACCAAGACACCATCTGGGATACATGTTTGCATTTATGAGATGATAACAAATAAAGGCTCAAGAACTTGTCATTCAAGGTTGCTTTCCGCAACCACAAATCTTCCCAAAAACATAGTTTTGTTACCTAACGCCACATCATACTTTATGTGATGCAAGAACAGGTTAGAAAGGTTGACAATTGCTTTGCAAGGGGAAGAGAGGTTTGCCCCTGCATTTAAATCAGCACCTCGGCCATTAGATTTCCGGCCGTTTGTGCTTACAACTTTTTAATGCCAAAACTTGTCTACATCATGTGGGAATCTCCCAACCATTTCCCCAATGCCACATCCTTTCTTCTAATCCTCCCAAYACCCAAACACTCCTTGCTTCTACTTACCACTTTTCAATTAACTAAATGGCCTCTCTTGATGTCCCCCCATTCACATAAGAAATCCATCATGATCTTCTCCAATATATTGGCAACCTTTGCCAAGACCCTAAACACTGAAAGGAAGTATACTGCAAGATTGGCTAGGGTAGATTTGATCAGTGTAATCCTTGTATTTTCAAGTTTTCTCCACTGAAACACATCATGAAGTCTTTAGTAACTTCAAGGATTACTTCAGTATCTACTAAATATGCCAACAGAAAAGCATAGGTCAGGTTGAATCATAGCATTTTGCAAATGAGACTACTTCCAGCTGAATCATATCTAACATTCGTTATTTCTTCCTCACTAAGTTTGTCTGCTTTTGATATTGGTGTGCTAACAGGCTTACAAGCTTCTATATCAAAATGTTTTAGCATAGTGCAAAATAATTTTTCATCTTATGACCTTCACAATCGGTTAAGTCTATCTACATGAATTTAATTCCCATAACACAAAATGTTACCTCAAGGTCAGTCAAAAGTTTTTGAAAACCATGTCTGGGTTTCTAAAATAAGTTTTCATCATCACTTGAGGAGAAATATAACATCAATCCAACTTCTCTGTGTATATGCAGCGGGATCCTTCAGTTATGAACAAATGATAAAGCCAAAATTCCATTGCTCTGTCCAAGTAAAGAAAGCATTCAGGTCCCCATTCAGACTGTCTATCTCCCTTAAGGCATGTCTGTAAGCCCAAGGTACATTGTAACTAGAAGTGATCCAAGAAATAACCACTTTTGAGTCTCCTTCAACTTCCAAGGTTCTAAAATTGCTTAGCAAGTTTTAAGCCTTGTAACAGCGCCACCAGTTCAGCCTTTAATGAGTCCCCTTCCCCTATAGGTCCTGAGTACATAGCTGGCATTTTACTTGAGGAGTTCTAAACACTCCACCAATACCTGCCATCCCTGGGTTTCCCCAATGTTTTAAGCAAGGCATAAAATTACAAAAAAAAAGCTAAAAACAAAAAAAAAAACGTCAGAAATTTCAAAAAAATGCCAAAAAATTTTAAAGCATGCAAAAAATTCAAAAATTATTAAACATAATGTTAATAAAAAATATAAACTTAAATTTTAAAATAAATATTTTAAAAAAACTATTATTTAAAATTAAAATACATAAATATAACATGTAAAGCATATTAAAATGAAAATTTAAAAATAAAAGCAAACATATAAAGCATTTTCAAGCATGTAACACCCACAATCTCTTTTTTTCCTTAATTGCATTGCTTCAAGTAGCTAATGTGATGAAAAACATATTGCATTCTAGATTCTATGAGTCGCCTTTGTACCAAGCCCCTCAAGGCAAGCCTGAACAAGTCTATGTTAGGGTCTGAAATTCTTAGTAAGTGGGGTAAGGATTCACCATTTTCAAAACAAAAGACTCCCAAATAAACAACATAAAGGGACAAGATTTTAGTAAGTGGGGTAAGGATTCACCATTTCCAAAACAAAGAAAGCATACATGTGGCAAAAGACATCTATTTGGCCTCCTTTTTTGAAGCAAATCCCATATGTTCGCCTTTCCAAGAAAAACTCCCAGACCAGTGCTTGTACTTTAGGTGGTATGGGCTTACTCCAAATTTTTTTTCACCGGGAAATTTTCTTCCCATCTCTAATGGTTGCAAAAGTGAATTGAAAAATGAGACACAAGTGAAAATATCATCAGGAGAGGTAATCCCCCATGGTTTGAACTAAGAAAATATACTAGAGTTTATCCAATAACTGAACAGGGGCCTTCACACTTGCAATCTCTCAGTCCCCTTCTGAAGCCAAAATCCCAACTCACACCCTCTCTCTCCTCTCATCTTCTCTTCCAATCTAGTTGGTACCAAAGCAGGTTTGGTAGAAGTTTGAAGCTTGTCTAGACCTTCCTTCCTCTTCTCCTTCTCTGTTCCCTCTAGAAAGGAACTTACCAAATCTGAAAGGGATCTGATTGGGTAAAGTAGTTTCTGCTTTTTTTTTCCTTTTGGTCATACAACCTAAAGGATGATTGTTTGGTGTTTTTTCTTAACCTGTGATGGGGTTTTGAGTGTTTGGAGAAGTAGTTTTCAGCTTTTTCCTGGTTTTGAGGTCTGACATCCATTCAGCTTTGGGTTGTGCCACGTTTTATAGATCTCTCACAAAGTTTCTAACTTGGTGATCTGTGTCAGTGTTTTAAAAGTGCAAGGCGCAAAAAAGGCATAGGGGTCAATTTGCGCCTGAGGTGCAAGCGCAAGGCGAGGCACGCCTTTTTAAGCATGGCGCAAGAAAAAGGCTAAAAAATAAAAAAAATGCCAAAAAATGCAAAAAATAATCAAAAAAATTATTAAACATAATATTAATAAAAATATAAACTTAAATTTTAAAATAAGTGTTTTAAAAAACCCACAATCTCTTTTTTAAATGAGAATTTAAAAATAAAATCAAATATAAAAAACATTTTCAAGCATATAAAACCCACAATCTCTTTTTTTCTCAATTGCATTACTTCAAGTAGCTAATGTGATGTAAAACATATTCATTCCTGATTCTACGAGCCGCTTTTGTGCCATGCTCCTCGAGACAAGCCCAAACAAGTCCATGTTAGGTCTTAAATTCTTAGTTCTCGCACAAAAAATAATGATTTTATAGTTTTAATTGCTTTTTAAGAAGATATTTTATTAGGATTAATGAATGAGCAACATTACCAAATAGGGGGTTCTCGAAGCTTTGGTGAGTGTGCAAAGCGAGACCTAATGTGGACTTGTTTGGGCTTGCCTCGAGGGGCATGGCACGGGGGTCCGATGGCAGAGCCCCCGACCCAGTCACTAGACACAAAAAAAAAGCAAAAAACATCAAATTTTCGAAAGGCACACGTCTAGGCTGAGGCGCAAGGCACACCAGGTGTGCACCTTTTGAAAGGGCTGTGACTAGGACCTAGGCGAGGCACCTACCCTAAAATGTGCCTCGCATGTGTGCCTAGGCACRCCTGAGGCACTTTTTAAATCACTGATCTGTGTAAGAGTGTTTGGCATTTGAGAAGCTATTCTTCTAATTAGTGGTGCATGGACTGTAAGGATCAGCTTTTGGGTTTCTTTCCTTTTTTGTCCTAGTTATCTTTGAAGTTTTTCACTGTTATTTCTACTATTTATCAAAGGAGTTTTTGTGTTACAGCTGTTAGAATTGTGGTGTGCCTTCATTGTTTTGTGCTATAACTGAGAGAAAAAATAGGCATCTCCTTGAAGTGGTTCATGGTTTAATGTTGTATATGCATGTACCTAAGAGATTTGGGGTTGATGCAGTGCTGATTGTTGCATTCCTTATCAACCACATGCCCACACGTAATCTCAAGTCCAAGGCCCCACATCATCTTCTTTTTCCCAAGTCTCCATTGTTTTCTATCCCTATTTGTATTTTTGGTTGTTGATGTTCTGTTCAGGACCTCTCTCCACCTCATGGTAAACTTGACCCACGTTCCATTCCTTATGTTTTTCTGGGATATATCACGGATGAAAAGGGATATAAGTGCTAGAATCCCTCTTCCCATTGCTAACTACTTCTTTAAGCATAAGCAAGAAGAGTTTGAGACAATGAACTACATTTAAAAATAATTACTTTTTCACTGGTAGCATAACATGTTTTAGAGCTCCTACGATGCTAATAATCAAAGGATTTTCTCTGAAAAGGGAAGAAGTAGAGATGCCATCATTGGAACCATCACTGCCAGGGTGATTTATTGGGCGAAGTCTTTGGAATTATTTGAGGGTATATCTATAGATAATCTGTCCAAGAACTGGAAGGAAGTGGCTAATTCAGCCCCTCTCAAAACTGTGACTTTTCTACTTTGGTCCACACCAGTTGTTGGTTTCACTAAGTTGAATTTTGATGGAAGCAATGAAGGTAAATCGGGTTCTTCAGGTATAAGATGAGTTTTTAGGGGCGAAGAAGGGAAAGTTATTGCTCTATTTTCAGGCCCTATTGGTGTAGGTGATTCACTTAGAACCAAGGTCTTGGCAATAATRGAAGGGATTAAAAGAGAAAATGAATTGAATATCAGAAAACTGATTGTTGAAGGTGACTCAGAACTGGTCATAGGCTAGCTACAAAAAGAAGATAATGGAATCAGGAAATTTGCCAATGAAAAAAACAAAGTGCCTGACCCAAGACTTGGAAAGCTATAGTGGGTAAAKAGGACTGCTGATTCTTTTGAGGATACATTTGCAAAACAAGGGGTGGGAAGGGAAAGTTTATTTTGGGCCATGTTGTAATTTGAACTCTTACTTAGGGAGGGTTAAGACTTGAGTTTACCTCTCCCCTTGCTTTCTTGTATCTGTTTCTTAATTTTTTTAATAAAAATTCAGTTATTGATCCAAAAACAAAGGATGCTAATAATCCTAATTTATATATACAACATTCTTACATCTACTTAATGTTTCTTTTACTCCAAAATAGCATTTCCACCAATTTGTATTCTAGAAGGAAGAAATATAACTTCCAGAAAAGACAAGCAAAAGAAATACAAAGACAACCATGAGATTTAGGTTGCCAGTAAGACCTATCCTGACCTAAGAATCCATAGAGATGAAATACTAATAATAGACATTTTTTGACTGCCTTGGCAAATAAAAAGGATCCATTATTTCAAAAWCCTTGGGCATAGAAGAGAAATAAGAATTTGTCCTATAAATAGCAACAGAATGGACTGACACTTGTGGAATACAACATCACAAAAATCTTGATCCAATGGAGTCAATACGTTTTCATGGTCTTGCTATTTGTCTTCCTTCTCTCCCATAGGAGCAAAACCCTTTCCACTTCCATATGGTGGCATTGGACCAAGGTTTATCCACCACCTGAAACCAACCATTCTCAAAAGAAGCATAACCTACTTTGAGCATGAGATGACACGTGTGTTTGCATCTTTGTTTGCTTTTACAATTTTATATCACATCTGTAACCAACACTGAAATTTGAAGGACTGATGTCCAAAATGCAAGTGAATTAAAATCTAAAAGGACATTTATGGCATTAAATATCAGAAAAATGATGTTAAAGAACTTTAAAATTTCAGAACTAAACTATCAGGGGGGAAAAGATAAGATATCTGGTAAAATATATTCAATAATTACTTCATATTAAGGAGATCAATAAGCAATTGCAAAGCTCCAGAATCCCCACAAGACTCCCATACGGCTGCTTGAACTTCTGTATTAGATGGTTGCCTCTCCTCTCCAGATCCAACAAGCTGGGTACAGGATGAAAAAGGATATAAAGAGTTTGGGGTCAACAACTCAAGGAGGAAAAAATTATGAATAACACATAACAAAAGCATTTCATCTTTTGATCTGATAAAAATCTAATAGAACCCCTTAGAGAGGCTATGGTCCTTTGGTCCCAAAAGAAATAAAAAATAAAAAAACTATAAATAGAAAAGACACTATCCATCCAAAAAGAGGCAGAGTGATTAAATGTCTTATAAACCCATTTTCTGGATGAAGATAGTCTCAGATAATTCAGGGTCTATTAACCACCATTCTCTCTCTAATGCAAGAGAAAAATAATCAAAACATGAATTTCCTGAAATACTATGTATCTGCTTATTTTACAAGTTGTCTGTGGGATCCAAACTAAGACTTCCTAAGTTTTCCTAGAGTCAAAATTTGGTAATAGAAATTTTATAAGTTGTGTGTTTTAGTTCTAGTAGGATTGGTCACCCCATAGTGTTTATTAGGGATGATCAAATCCAACCTGGCCTGCATTGCTCAGTTCACCCATTCCAGATATTTCTGGGCCTCAACTTATGTTTTTCATCCAAGTCTGGCCTAGACTGGATTTGCATCAAGCCCGTACATAATGTGGATGGGATGGGTACTAAAATCCTAGGGCCTGGAAAGCCATCCTCGCATTATGTATGTAGTTTGTTGAATTGCAATCGTAACCCATTTAAATTTCTTTGAATATAAAAACGACTTAGCAATTAATAAAATAAGGTTTTATATAAATTCAGATTTTAGGTTTCGATGTTGCCATAGATCCAATGCCTCAATGGCTTACATGGGCAAACCTAGATGCCTGCCTTGGGCCCGGACATAGATTATCAGGCCTAGACCACACGTTGCACCAAGTGCATAATGTAACCAGAAATTGCAAACTAGCACACAAATAGAAGAATAAGGAAGAAGTGTCTTACGGTGATCAGTAAAAGTGTGAGGACAGAACAATCAGTCCTCAATAGCAATTAACTAGAAAGAACGGTAGGAAAAGACCAATTCCTCTTACTGAAAACAGAAACAGTTTTTTTTATCAGTAACAACCATTTTATTAAATATAAAAAGATAGATTACATATGTGTGTTCACCTTTTGGAGATATGAGGACTCTTATCTCTCAACTTTCTTCTTTCTTACAAATGTGCCCAGAATATCTTATTTCTTCCCACCCCTTGCTTAGCTAAAGCATCAGCCATGCCGTTTGCTTCCCTTTGTACCCATTGAAAATCTCACTTCCACACCTCTAGTCAGTCATCTGAATTTCTTGATTTCATTTCTGTACGACCATAGAGCTACCTCACTATTATGCAACCACCCGATCACCAATCTTGAGTCTCCTTCAATAATTAGTTTGGTCATATTCATCTCCCATTCCCTTTGTACATCTTCTATAACAGCCATAAACTCTGCCCTTAAGAATCCCCTATGCCAATTGGACCCCAGAACATTGCCATTATATTAAACAGTTCACAAACAACTTTAACGATCAAAAATCATATTTGGTAGATCCAATTCAACTAGAAATGGTAACAGCACACTTGCATTCGGTTTTGCATGCAGGGGGCATTTGAAGAAACATAAACATGACATCTTGAATCTGAAGGGTTGTCCTACGTCACTTGCCCCATGTGTCGTCTAGTGGTGCTTACATGTTTGAAACACCTTAAATATTGACATGTTCCAAGTTTCATGTCTGAACATCAGCACTTCATTCCCACTTCTACCTTAAACGCAATCAGTTGAAATTCCAATCATACCAAACACAATGTAGATCATCCATATTGAAGTCTTTAAACTTGTATGCAGAGCTAGTGACCCAGCTTAATAGTATCAAGACCAGTTATCCTCAAGCATCTCCACACAATTTTTCCACTGTTGTCTATCCTGAAAAACTCTCTACATCTAACTAGCTGTGTCCACATGGCACCAATCCACCCTCAAGAAATAAATAAATAAATCTCCCAGAAGTACGGAGTTTTTTAAGATTTACATGCATGTGTTTGTTTGTAATAACAAGTTGTCAATGCTCTAAATCTGAGGTGATATCAAATACACAAGTATATGTGGTACCTTTTTATAGTAAACCAGCTAGGCTAAAGTTGAAGTGGAACAGAATTCACAGTTTTTCATCAGTAACTAAAACTTTCTTTGTTAATATGTGAAAAACATGCAATAGGTATATATTACTACATGTAACTGTAATTAGAAAACAGAATTCACAGCTTTAAAAAGTTACAGAAACATTTCAAGATATTAGTTGCCGATTCTATAACAAGGTGAAAAATGAAGTTTCCAGTATTCAGCAAATTTTCTGGATCAAAAATATTCAGCAAATTTTAAGAATATTGCACCTCTTCTAGCAATGATGAAACCTGAAGAAGCTCATCCTCTCTCATGGCAATGGTCCGCAAGGTGATTAAAAATTCCTCAGGAAAGACCAGCTTATCCAAGTAAGAGGGCATCTTTCGTAGGCCACTCCAACTGTAATTACAAACCAAGCCACTTCTACGTTTATTGTTGTCTTCATCTTTCTGGGAATGTGAAGAGAAAAATCCATGATCTAGCAAACTTCTTGGTAAAAGGCACCTCATTTCAGCCTTCTGTAACCACAAAGCACATATCAATAAATAAATGTTATCCAAGAAAACTTTGTGTAAGGGAAGAAAATTAGCATGGATGCTTCTTGAACAGACACAACTATCTGGAAAATAGTGCTTACATAAACATCTAAAACCACAGGAGATCAGAGAAGTAAGACATTGCTGACCTGTGTTTCAAGAAGCTGAGCTTTGTTATCAGCAAAAGGAACACTCTGAAAAGCCTCCACTGGATAATGGACCTATGTGGTTTATTCAAACCAACAAAATTTCATGCAATTACAAGACCATTCACAAGTATATAATTTATGAAATCCTCAGAAACAAGGCTACCTTGAAGCAAACCAGGGGAAAGAATTTCAAAAGTACAAGAATCCATCCCTCCTCTATATAGCATAAAGAGTGGTTCATAACAAATTCTGCCAGGAACTTACCATAAGATAGTCATCTGGATTCTCATTAATGACAAATCCATAGAGGTACAGTAATTCCTGCAACAAATTTGAAATTAACTGTCATGAAAATTTTTAATCATTTATTATGAAACCTTCAAAAAGAATATATGCTCATTTCTCATCAAGAACCAAATCTTTCTAAAGTATAAATGTTTACATTATTGAAAACTATCACCTGTTGGAGTAAGAGAAATATAGAATGTAAGAGTTCATCCAACTGTTCTTATCATCAAGGCAATGAATAAAATGAGAAAAGGCTAGAACTCAAACAAACAGCTGATAATAAGCATTCATAGCACCTTATTTTTGCAAAGATGATAGATATGGTCAGAGAATACATAAGGAAATATTGTCTTGACTTATCGCAATCTGACCTTTTTGACAGTGAGTAATATGATAAGGTTAGAGTAGATGGTGGTTTCTTTTCTATAAGTTCGACTTGCATGCTCAGTTAAACAAGAAAAAAACTTTCATCAAAATATCGCAAATAATTTTTTTCAGACATCTCATAAGCTGCTGAAGATGTTGGTCACTCCATGCATTCTCCAGGTTAGTTCATCTCAATGCAATAAGCATGATACTATGTTATCTCAGGTGTTTTCCTGGTAAGGGGCTATTGTTTCGAAAGAATGAGCACATAAAGTTGGAAACTTATACAGATTCCAACTAGGCAGGTTCAGTCACTGACATGAGGTTGCTTAAGTGGTATACTTTATCATATATGGGCTGCAAGGGTAGTTTAATCTTTTTACTCCTATGTTTTAAACATTCTAGATATAACACTAGCGTGGTCACTGTGCTTCTGTCCAACTCACTTTTGCCTCATCCTTCTCTCTTCTCTCTTTTCTCAGCTCTCTTCCTTTCTTCTGTGACAGATAATAGAGATCAGCATCTGGGTATCACAGATTTATTTGTAGAAAGCTGATCAAATGAAGAAAAGTAGTCAATAGTTACTTGATCTAGTTATAAGGCAGAGTATTTTTTTTTTTGATAGATAGCTATAAGGMAGAGTATTATGCCATGGTACATGTAAGCTGCTTTGGTTGAAAACACTTCTCCATGAGCTGGGGTAGTGGGGTGTCCAATAGAGGGACCTATGCACCTTTACTATGATAATAAAGCGGCAAAAGTTTAGCTCATAATTAAGTCGAGGTGTCCAACATGAGAGAAAAAGCAGATTGAGGTGGACATGCATTTCATATTTGAGAAGGTTGCTAGCTGATGTACTCACAAAGGCTGTAGAGAAGTCCCAATTATCTTGTATATGTGGCAAGCTTGGTGTTTTGACATCAGCTTGAGGGGAAGTGTTGTTAAAGAGTCATTGGAACTATTAATTAATGTAGATAGGTGGTTTACAGTATCAAGGGTATTACTATAATCTTCATATAATTTTTCTCTTATGAATAAAAGAAAGAAGGAGATGGGAGTGTAACCTATTCCCACATATTTTTTCCAAAAAGCTCTCTTTGTTTTCCRTAACAAATCTATTTAGTGGGCAGTGATAATGGTGGTCTTGGTAGTCTAAATAGGGAATAGATGGCAAAGGTAGTAGTCATGTATATCAAAATCACGATTTTTTTGAAGATTAAAATAAAAATTTATTAAATAGAAAGAATCAGTTACATGCACTAGGTGACAAGATGGCACCTAGCTTACAAAACAGAGAATACTGAACTAAAGCACAGTCCAAACTAAGACTGATACAAATTACATCAAATGACTCTCAAGCGTTCTCCGGAAATTTTCCCCCAAGTCTGATCTGCTAACTTGATCAAAATCTGGTAACACCCATACCCAATCTGCAATTAACTTCCCCACCAGAGCCACCAAAACTTCTGTGTTCTTGAATTTGTCTTCAAAGATCCTCTGTTCCTTTTGTTCCACATATCCAGCACACAACCCAACAGCATCCTTCTCCAACCATTCCCCACTCCCCTTTCCCCATATCTCCTCCATACTCATATTAAAGGAAACTTTTATTTCCTGTAACAGGACTACTTCTGGCCGGCAGTGCCTTATCATGTTCCTCACCAATGCCCTCCTATTACTCTCCCTAAGGCCCCTCGCGTTCCAGCTCAATACCCTCATCCTTCCTTCCATCTTCACACTCCTTAGAGCAGCTCTTTTTCAACTCTCACATATCCTCTTCTAGCATCTCCTCTTCGCCCCCTTCCTCATCCTATTCTTTGTTCAGCCCACTTAATTCCTTTCTCTTACCCTTCTCCTCCCTCTTGTTCTTCTCAAATTGTGCAAAGGCTCTCCTTGCAAATTCTTCTCCCCCCAAGAAAAACAATCCTAGGGACTTACCCATCCGTACCTCCCTCTCCGCAAGTTTGTCAATCTCCACTTCTCCTTTTAGAGCACTCTCCAACTCACCCAGCCTCTCACCCCTTCTCCCCTTCTCCCCCAGTTAAGCCAGTTCTTCTTCAACCTCACACACTCTAGCTCTGACGCCTTCAGTTGTGCTTTTGGTGTATCCTTGGAATCTCACTGTTTTCTTCTCTCCTTCGAAACGAGCAACCACCCAAACCCACTTGTCTTCCTGAGCTCTTGAGTTCTTGCTCTTCAGTCTATATTCCAGCGCAATTGTTTGGTTGTCTGTTTCCAGATCGAGCCCTTCCCCACCTTATTCCCAAACCAGTCAAATGGTGGCCTGATTTGGCTCCATCCTGTTCGACTTCCTTAAGGTGGGCCCCATTTGAATTCGAGCCTCCCCCTACTTCGCCCTCCTTTTGACTAAGCCCTCTTTCTTTTACCATAGGGCCTGTCGATTGAGATTCCTTAGGTCCTGGTTCCACGTGTCCATCTTCCTTTTCTCCCACCTCCYCAGTCCTATTCGAAATTCCATTTCTGACCCTTCTCGCCCCCCACCTCAATGTTGTCTCCTTCCTCTAGCCAACTGTTCACCTTCCCAGCTTCAGCTCTGTTCTTGCTCCACCCTTTCTCCCCCTCTTTCTTTCCCCCTTCCTCATTCCCTCCAAACCTTCTACTCCCATCGTCTTGACCTAGCGTCATTCCATCTTCTCCCTCCACCATTATCCTTAAATCGTAAAACTCCCCTGCAAACTTTAAATTAACTCTATCTGGAATGTGTGACGTATCCTTTACTTTGACCAGCAACCTTGCCCTTTCTAACAAATTCCAATTTCGTTTTTTGTCATCATATCTTAACAGTCTCCTGCAATACTTTCCTATCTCCTCGAATGTTACAATACTCCAGGCATGCAACGGAATCCCCACTACCACAAATTGCTCTTCTCCCTACTTTGTCTTCCCTTAGCGTGCCGACTGCCAGGAACCACCATCCCATTCTAAGGTCAAGCTCCCTCGTCCTCTGTGATTCTTCTTCTAGCACCTCTTCCGCCCATTCCCTGCTGTGAAACATTAAAAGAAACAGACCTCCATTTAGCTTTCTCACCCCCATCAGTTTCTTTTTCCCCACTCCAAAGTTCAAACTAGCTCACACTTCGACCTTGTCTTCATCCAAGTCCATATCCACGAACCTTCCTACCAGACTCACCTTCAATACCACCATACTCTCCTCCAGTTTTCCTATTCTCCTCACGTCTATCTCCAGCACCACCATTCTCCTTAAAAAAAAAAAAAAAAAAAAATCTAAGTTCTTGTTCCCACTCTAATAGTTTTCTTTATCTTGTGTTTTTCCCTGAAGTAACTAAATGGTTTGCACTCCATTGAATCATGTTTTATGAACAACAAAAGAGGTGGGAACAAAAGAAACAGAAGATGGAAGCATGTTAGTGACTTACAACCGCACGAGAAGTTTATCAAGCAATAATCTTTGATTTTGTTCTTCAAAGAATACAGAATCCAAATTCTACAAAAAGTTTCAGCTCTCATAACTGACATCCTAAGAGCATGCAGACTCCAGTCACAACTCCTCTATAAACTCCTACGGTCATGCAAAAACCACATACAACAACCTAAACTACAGAGACTCAAATAGCTAAAATTAAGAACATAGCAAGGTATCCAGGATGGTTTTTCATATATGGTGATTTATAGCTCTTTTTGCCCCTTTTCTTGATCGTTATAGTAGATCTCCTCCTTAAGAACTATCAAATGCATCAATAGTTTCTTTTAAACCATGCATGGGGAAGTACATCAACAAGTCTGACAAAAATCAGTTTTCCGTTTATTGGAAAAGCCACATTATAGGAGGCATGCCTTTTCATTTTTGAGATATGGGCCTTCTAAAAATTAGAAACCACAAAAGGTCATTTGGACAAGGCAGTTTTCTTTGTCTAACTGCCTTGCCTCGTGACCTTTTAAACCACGGTTTAAAGTGCACTCATCACCTGAGGAAGAAAACCATGGGACTCCGGCTCAGTTTGAACAACTTGAACCCACTGTCCCTACTATGTCAGGAGTCAAACCCTTTTGGTCCAAGTTTGCACTCCCCCTCCCAGATTAGATAAAGGACCTGCAACTTAAATCTAGGGGAAAAAGATATAATTAAATCTAGACCCTTACCTCAGTCATCACTTCAGCATCTATCAAGAATGATTCAGATGTAGAATTCCCTTCAGAATGCAAATGAAAGTAAATTGTCTTATCTCACCCTGAGATCTGAAATGATAATTGGGAGACAGCATTGAACCCTCTCCTTCCACAACCACCTACAACTAAAACCAACCTCTTTTTAATCCAATCCCAATAATTTGGAGATTCTTGAAATGCCTTTATATTTAATTATGATGTTTGCCATGTCAAGGAAGTACCAAAATACTGATTTTGCATAAATGAAGACTCCATAGATGGGTAGATACTAAAGACACTCTTCAAGGCATTGGCAATAGCCTTGAAAAAGGGTGATGAAGAGGGATTCCATAAATTTTCACCCACCAGCAAGAACTAGACGGATGGCCTAGAGAGCTAACAAGGGCGGTCAATGATGAATGATCACAATATCGACTTACAGCCAGGCTGAATGGGAATAAGAAAGTGAAAATACTATGGAGGTGTATCCCATTTGCAATTTGCTGGAACATTTGGAAGGAGAGAACAGAAGGACTTTCAAAGACAAAGCTTACAGCATGGACAAGATGGTTGCAGCTGTGGGTAGATCAGTGATAGATTGGCTGCTGATTCTTCCAGATTTCAATCAACTAGAAAGAGAAGGCTTTGGTCTTAGGTTAGGAGAGGTCCTGGATTATCAGATGTGTAATGTGGAGAATGTTCTCTAATTTGAAATTGGGTGTTTGTATTCGGGTGAGGACTTGTCACCCCCTGTTGTAACTCCTTTTTCTTTTTAGTAAAATTTTTATTTTACTTGTCAAAAAAAAAACTTAGCCAGGGAATCTTTCTTACCATTTCCATTTGTATTAAAATCCTTTATTTCAGATGAATGATAATGCATCAGTAAAGAAACTAATCGAACACCAATAGAGAAAATTTTCTCCCTCCTTCAGAACAACCTGGCTTGCCTTCAGAAAGACTGTCCACGTTGGTCTTCACTGATGCCCCACCTTTCTCACCTACAAGGAACCACCCCATGCAACTCTCACCTTTGAGCAATGGAACTGAGATTTTCATTGAGAAAGCATTCATGCATACAGAAAGTACATTGTGGTAAAAGGAAGCCACAAACCAATTGATATAATCTTTAGCTGAGAAAATTAACTTCAGAGTACAGTAGATGAATAAGCTTCGAGCAGCTTTTATAGGATGGCATAGTATATCAGGGATGCCATTTATTATTCTTTCTAGATGTCCACAAATGATTCTTCACTAACAGAGAGAGAGAGAGAGAGAAACAGAGAAAGCATGGTACCTCATTTCCTTTGTTACCATAACTAATGCATATCTCTTTCTCGATCTGGGAGGTACTCTGATCAGCTTCCAAATTATAAGAACCAAAGAAGCAATATTTAGCTTGATATTGTAGCTAATTGAACGAAAGCATAAGCAACTTATAGAAYTTCATAAGTTAACTAATAAAGTCGCACAAAACTTGCACAGATAATTAATAAATGAGAACATGGGATAGCCATAGAAATCAAACACCTCCTCTAAGCCACAGGGTTCAAGCTGCTATTACTACTACAGAGTGTCTGTCCATGCAACACTGCCAGAACTGCATGCAACACTATTAGGTTATGATACGAGTCGTTTATCAGCTGATTCAGTGGTCTTGACTCTCAATCATTTCCCATCTATCAATCAAGGTTTTGCATACTGTACTTAAATCACATCCTTGATGCAGAAAAGGGAAAATTCCTTGATGATAATAGGATTATCTATTTCTTATGTCTCTAGAGTATGAAATACGCACAAACATCTGAGCAAAAATCAAGACATATTTATAGAATTAGCAATGACTTCAAGTCTCTATGCAATGTGAACTACCAAAAAGGTTAGAACATCGAAATGGTCAAAAGGATCTAGCAAATCTTCCACTGAAGGTTTTTAGATAACTCAACAGAAAAGCTGAAAATAAACACTGGAATCTGCAAGAAATTTTAATCGTGTGATGATAAAAATTAGAACATGTTTGTAATTGGGAGATTTAATACCAGATAGGAGGTACATAGATAAAGGAACACCAGTTGTCAATCCTGTCCCATCAACTTCCCATGTTGCTGCAGCCTTTAAATCTGAAACGAGATATTTTTGCAAGTGAGGTAAAAAATGACCAAAATATCCTTGGTCATGTGATCTATATTCAACAAAACTTTAACTAAAAACTACATGGCCAGAAGAAAGAAATGCCCATCAAAGCAAGAAAATTACAAATCCAAGCAACAGAAATCAGTATACAAAAGTGTCAAACCAATTTAGAGGATAAACCAAGAAAGAGAAGTCAACGAATTCAGAGAATATATTTAACTAGGTAACAAATTTCAAAATTTCTTACTAAGAAGAAGAAATTAAATATATAATTCCTCCCAAGCACATGCAGTATAAACCCAGTAAAAGAAATCAAACATCAACCTTAGGGTCCCTTCTGAGTCCATGTAAGATAAATATAAACCTGTTTTGGTACAAAAAGATGCCCTAAAATAACTCCAAAATGTCATAAACTTAAAATATGCACCACAAAGGATTGGGTAACCACTCCTCCTTGGTCAAACAAATTTGAACTTTGATCAAAACCAACCACACACTACCATGTTGAGCATCTTCTACTTGCCTACCCATCATTAAAATTTAAAGAAAAGTTTACAGCAATCCAATCATATTAAAAACTATGATACCCGGATACCTATACATGGGAAATAAAAAGGTCTTTGGCGGATCAGTTAGCAATGCAGAGGGTTTACAGAGAACAAGCTTTCTGGACTCAAGTCCAACGAAGGATAACATGTTTTTCTCTGGGTGGCTACGGGTACTAGGCCAAATCAAGGAATCTCCCGAACACAATTCAATGTAAATACCATTCTTTTTTAGCAGAATTAATAAAATTCAAGTTATACATCAAAAAATAGGGTTCCATACTGTCACTGTGTCAGATAGTTCAATTCTCAGTGAAAACTTCATTACCACATCTAGCTTTGTCCTTGCCACATCCAGGTAACATAGATTACAAATGTAAGTCACAAGAAGATCCAATAGTTGGATTTAAGATATAACTTCAACACCAACTTCCTAAGAAATTCTTGCAAAACCAAATTTTGTCATTTTCTTGGTGTTCCAAGATTTCTTTTTCTTCAATCCTTTAAGCTTAGTTACTGTTTGTGAATTTGCATTAGCATTAATTATTGATAAACAATAGAATTACCTCATAGCAAGTATATGCACAATGAGACAATAAAAATGAAAGCATTGGCATACCATGGTTGCAGAAGTCAATGCCTGGGACAAGACCCTCAACCCATATAATCTGTTCCTGCACCGAAGTGGATGATGCTTCATCTGTTTTTCTTTCAACCTCACAAGAATGGCAGCCTAAAACAAGAAGTATGTGTTATTAATTTCCAAGGTCAGATGATTATTCATCCATTTCCTGCATCTTTAACACTATACAATAACAAATTAAACCACATCAAAAGGAGGGAAATGATCACAAGGGCACCGATAAGAAAAAATGATGACTTACTTTGTACAGATTTATCATGAATGGACACCCCACCACAAGATTGATTAGTGGGAGGACCAGAATCTTTGTTAAGACATAAAAAGCAATTTTCTTGCCCTTCTTGCACTTCAGGAAATACATATGAATGTGGAAAAGGAATATTCAAAGCACGAGTCCAAAATATGGAGTTTGCCCTATCATAACATCAACAGATATATAGTTATTATTACCACAAAATATAACATATATACAAGAAAAGTTACGCACAAGAAAATAAAATGCTGAATGCCTATTCAGCTATACTCGGTTAAATGCCAACTTCAATAGGGTATTCGTTGTATATGATATTTGGTATTCCATACATTGTGAAGATATATCTTGATGTACACTATTAGAGTAGTTCTTGTTGTACAGTACCGTATTCTTCTTATTTTATTTGTTCTTTTTATCTTTCAGCTCTGTAAGGACATTCTTGTAACTGTACATATATTTTATCTCTTTAATATAAAAGAGACTCTTTAGGGCGGGGGTCGACCATTCTTGACACCCCTAAATCTGTTTTCTTCTTGCTCTCAATTCAATTCACATGGTATCAGAGCAGGTTGCCATTTCATCTTCTTTCTCTCTAATCCACCTTGTTTTCGTGATCTGTTAAGAGCTTACATCTCTGCCGAGTTTATTGATCAAAGTCCTGGACTGTTTTGATCTCTCCAGGAACCCCTTTTCTGTTTTCTGCGCATCCAGAGAGAGAGAGTTTATTGGATCTCTCTTGTTTGACATCTGTTTGCAGCAAGATTTGAAAGGAGTTGCCGCCTAGCCCTTCTCGACATAATCTGAAAGTTTTACGGAGATCCGTGAAGTTTTGAGAGAGATTTAGACTGCTGTTGCACCCAGACTTTCCTTTTCTGGACTGTGTTCAATTTTCTCTTTTATTGGATCTTGAACAATCTCCGGTGAAAGTAAGGGATTTCTTTCTCAATTTTTTGACTCTCTTACATTGATTACAGCCTATTTCACTCATTTTTKGATCAAGTTTTACTTCAGTTTAGTTCCTTTAAACTTCAGCCAAACCCTATTTTGTGCTACTTTCTTGATGTAATGGCTTCAGACAGAGATGATATCATTCCTGTGAAGATGAATGGACAGAACTATGGGATATGGAAGTTCCACTTTGACTTTTATGTTGAAGGAAAGGGTTTAGAAGGATATCTGAATGGAATGGTCACCAAACCAGCTGAGACCGAGGCCAAGGATTAATGGAAGTTGGACAATGGTAAGCTTGTTTCTTGGATTCTGRGTTCTATTGACTATCATATATCTGTACCTATGAGGAGAATGAAAATAGCATATGAGATGTGCATGTATCTAGAAAACGTTTATCAACAGTCCAACGTATCTAAACAATATCAGATAGAATTAGAAATATTTTCTTACAGCCAAGGAGATAGGAGGATACAGGAGTATTATTCTGGTTTTCTTGATTTAGGGGTTGAATATGAGATTGTTCAAAAGCACTTTGAGAAGAGAAAGGTGACTCAGTTCTTGATGAGACTTAGACCTGAATATGAGATAATCAGGTCCAACATTCTGAGTAGGGGAACACTTCCAAATATGGGCTCTGTTTTAGGGGAACTTCTGAGGGAAGAGACTAGACTTCTCACTATAGCCGGGTTTGATGGGAAGATGGCTGAAGTTGGGGCTGAAACAGTCTTTGTTGCTCATGGGGGTAAGAAGCCAGCCTCTAAGGACTTCTCCAAAACCCAGTGCTACGAGTGTAAGGGTTTTGGACATATTGCATCTGACTGTAAGAAGAAGAATGTGTGTAACTATTGCAAGTAACATGGTCACATCATTCTAGACTATCCAATCCGACCAACTAAGGGCTCTCAGAAAAAGACTCAGCCCCAGGCCTATCAGGCAACAGATGGACAAGAACAGACACTATATCCACCAAGGGTGAGTCTTCAGTGAAAGGTGATTCAACAGGTGTCATGAATGAAGAAAGGGTTCTACAATTGGTATCTTCTGCTATTTCCTCTGCTTTCTCTACTATTGGCTTGTCTGGTAAGTTCTCTGCATATTGTTCTTCCCCTTCACATGATTGGATTATAGATTCAGGGGCCACCAACCATATGACAAGAGCCTACCTCAATCACCCAAACCCTTCCACTAAAACTCACCATAAACATATTATTAATGCTAATGGTGAAAAGTTAGACATCATTGGTAGTAATGATCTATCCCTTCAACTGTCACCAACTAGATCCTTCCCTCTCTCCAAAACCCTCTTAGTACCCAACCTTACTACTAATCTGATTTCTGTTGGCCAATTTGTTAATGAAGGAAATGTTCTCACCTTTTCTCATGATGGTTGCTTGATATAGGACCGGTACACTTGGAAGGTGAAAGGGAAGGGGCGTAGGTTGGGCCATCTATTTGTGCTGGAGTTCAAGAAATCTCAATCAGGGGCATCCTCAACTTTACTTAGTTCTTCTTTGTCTAATTCTCTGTTGAGTTATAGAAATAATGTTTGGGATTTATGGCATAAACAATTGGGTCATCCATATTCCCAAAAAATAAAATTTTTGTTTGACTCTGGTTTGATTAAGAATAGAACTCCTCCTGTTCATACTTTTGATGTTTCTTGCACTACGTGTTTGAGTAAAAGTCATGTTTTACCATTTCTTCATACATCTGAACATGCCACTAAACCTTTTGAGATAATACATAGTGATGTTTGGTCTGCTTCTATTACTTCACGATTAGGGTACGGATATTTCGTATTATTTATAGATGATTGTACCAAATATACTTGGATTTATTTTCTACGACACAAATCAAAAGTCTTTAGTGCATTTAAATTGTTTCATACAAGGTGCAAAATCGATTCAAGTGCAATGTGACTATTCTCCACTCAGATTCAGGGGGAGAATATAGAGATGGAGACTTCTTGGCATACTTGAGGAGTTATGGAATTCAGTCTCAGTGCAGCTGCCCAAACACTCCACAACAAAATGGTGTGGTTGAACAGCAGAATGGACATATTCTCAGTGTTGTTCGGACATTACTACAGGAGTCTCATACTCCAACTTCGTTTTGGGTAGAAGCAGCCAGTACAGTCGTGTATTTGATCAATTTTCTTCCATCCTCTGTTCTAGGCAACACTTCTCCCTTCCAAAAACATTTTGGTTATCCCCCAGATTTCTCTAGCCTTTATGTTTTTGGTTGCCTTTGTTTTGTTCATCTTCCTGTTCATGAACGATCTAAATTAACTGCTCAATCTACTATGTGTGCCTTTGTGGGATATAGTCCTGACCACAAAAGATTTTTGTGCTATGATCCTGTTGTTCGTCGTATCCGGATTTCCCGGAATATTGTGTTTCTTGAACATATCTCCTTTGTTGGGGTTGCTAGATTGTCAGCTCCTTCCATCTCTGTTTTGCAGGACTTTGATTCAAATGACACTACTACTTCCTCAACTGAGAGAGATCTTCTTGTCTTCACCCACAAGCGGCTACATGTCCCGGCTCCTGCGCCTACAACCCCCCTTCCACCCGGTCCAGAGCATCCATCTCAAATATCCTCTATAAGTGATACTTGACCCAAGATCCTCCTATTTCAGATAGTAGTTCGGTTATTCCACTTCATCGTTCTACCTGTATTTCTCGACCCCCAGACCACTATGGTTTTCCTTCAAACCATAGTTCCTTTTCTATTGTGCTTTCTTCGRCAAATATCCCTAGATCTCATCAGCAAGCCATTAGAAGTTCTCAATGGAAAGAAGCCATGAATGCCGAAATTCAAGCCCTCCATGAGAATGATACTTGGGATCTTGTGCCAAGCTGTCAACTCCTCCAAATGCTTCTATTGTTAGAAGCCGTTGGGTCTATACGATCAAACTGAAGTCAGATGGTTCTCTTGATCGATATAAGGCCCGGTTAGTTGCCCAAGGATATAGTTAGGAATATGGAATTGATTATGAAGAAACATTTGCCCCAGTTGCTAAGATCAGCACAGTTCGGACTCTTATGGTCATATCTGTTGTTTATTCCTGAACTATTTACCAATTAGATGTGAAGAATGCTTTTCTTCACGGTGAACTAAAGGAGACAGTCTACATGAAACCTCCGCCTGGATATTGCAGTGATCCTTCACGTGTCTGTCACCTGAAGAAGTCTTTATATGGTCTGAAGCAAGCACCCATGGCTTGGTTTGAGCGCTTCCGGGATGTTGTTGTTGCAGCTGGGTATAATCAGAGTTCCTCTGACTACTCCCTCTTTGTTAAGAGAAGACCCCAGGGTATCCTTATCCTCCTATTGTATGTTGATGACATGCTTCTAACGGGGGATGATCATGATGGCATTTGTGAGCTGAAGTCCTTACTTCATAACTCATTTCACATGAAGGACCTGGGTCCTCTCACTTACTACTTGGGTTTGGAGGTTCATCATAGCAGTCAAGGGTATTTTATTTGTTAACAAAAATACGCCTCCAATAATTCATCAAAAAAAAAAATACGCCTCCAATCTCGTCAAATTAGCTAGAATCACTGATGAGAAACATTTTAATACCCCCCTAGAGCTGAACGTCAAGCTATCTAAATCTGAAGGCCTCATCCTTCCTGATGCTACCTTGTACCGTCAGCTTGTTGGCTCTTTGATCTATCTTACTATGACCAGGCCTGATATTTCACATGTTGTTCAGGTCGTCAGCCAATTTGTCTCTGCCCTGCGGCAACCTCATATAACTGTTGTTCGCCACATCATCCGTTATGTTAGAGACAACCTCTCAGGGACTGTTTTTCTCTTCCTCATCATCCATACARTTGAGGGTTTATGCTGATGCTGATTGGGTTGGTTGCCCTAACACTCGCCGATCCACTACTAGGTGGTGCGTCTTCATGGGTGACTCTCTCATCTCCTAGAAGTGCAAGAAGCAGCAAACTGTCTCTAAGTCTTCTACTGAAGTCGAGTATAGAGCTATGTCTTCTGCATGTAGCGAGATTGTTTGGCTGAAGTCCCTTTTCATGGATCTTGGTAATTCTCTTCCTACTCCTATCCCTCTGTATGCCAACAACATCAACGCTATCAAGATCGCATCTAATCCAGTCTTTCATGAGAGGACTAAACATATCGAGGTGGATTGTCACTTTATTAGAGACCTCCTTGTTGCAGGCTCTATATCTCTTCCTCATGTATCCTCTCACATGCAGATTGCCGACATCTTCACCAAGGCCATGACTAAAAGTCGACATCTCATTCTTGTGGACATCAGTTTGAGGGGGAGTGTGAAGATATATCTTGATGTACACTATTAGAGTAGTCCTTGTTGTATAGTACCATATTCTTATTATTTTATTTGTTCTTTTTATCTTTCAGCCCTGTAAGGGCATTCTTGTAACTGCACATATCTTTTATCTCTTTAATATAAAAGAGACTCTTTGGGGTGGGGGTCGACCATTCTTGACACCCCTAAATCTGTTTTCTTCTTGCTCTCAATTCAGTTCACATACATAAACAGAGAACCAAAGGAATATGTATGGATTGACAGTTTTATGTTGTAGTCTTTGAGAATGCTTTCCTACTGCAGTGCTTTGTSATACATTATCAACCCAATTCTGTAATTGTCATCTAATTCTAGAGAGCAGGTAGACTGATAGCAAACTTCATAAATATTAGAAAAGGGTGACCTAATATCAATTTTATTCCCTCAAATTTAGTGATGCTTACTGATGAAAAAATCGGTGATGGCGTACGTCCTTGGACAACAAGAATCAAAAATGAAACTCGATGATAAACAAAATTTCAAATTTTGAAACACTTCAAATAAGCATACACTTAAGGAGATATAATTGGCACATTATATGCAAAATAAAGTAGTTTGTTGAAAGGACACATACCATAGGAAGTCTTCAAATTGCGCCTCACTGATTAAAGAAGCAAGGAGTGGCATATTTTTAGTACATTTTGCCATCAAAGAGAACATAAAATAAGGAACATGAATGATAAAAATAACAATTCAAAAGTATTTTATCAGAACAATTTAAAAAGTTTTGTAATTTTTCAGTGTAATATTGTGTAGTATCAGGTCAGACTATATTAATTCATTTTTTATGGCAAAAGGGAAATGGAGTCACAAGACTGCATCCACAGCTATAGTACCATGTAAAGAACACAACAGAAATTAGCAATGACAAACTTGAACTACTCTCTGAACTGGGATCCAGTTGAGAAAAAAAAAATTGCAACAGAAGCATGCCCATTTTTTTATAATAAAAGAAAAAAGATTTTATTAGGAAAAAAAGAGTACAAATAAAGGTAACCAGCAGTCACCAGAGAGAAAAAGAAGCAAGTTTCACCTTCAACAACCAGCCCCAACCCCCTTAAACAAAAAAATAATATATCGAGCAGCAATTATCCCCCCTAAACTGACATGACACGACCAAAACCCTACAACAAAACAAATACAAAATGAAAAAGCTCTTCAGTTTCTGAGATATTATGAAGGAACCTCTTTGCTTCCTCCTAAAGGCTTTACTCGATTTTTTCACCTTCTTAGTAGGCCCAATTCCAAACAGACCCCTTCTACTCTAACCTTCCAAACACTTTTGAAACCTGGACTGTTCTAACTTCTAAGGGACTCCTGACTGTTGAAACTTGAAACGTCTTACAGTGTCAGGCTTCTTCTTCATATCCCTCAGACCCCTTTCATCATTTTGGTTCTTCCCAAACTGCATTCCTCTCAAAAAAAACTGAACCGAAACCACCACTACCTCCACCATCTTTTCTAAATCAATTGTCCCCTCAACTGCATGGGTCTCATCCATAACCACTTCCTCACATTCTGAAACATCCCCATCTAGTTGGGGTAAGGCATGGAATATGATGATGAAATTCTTTTCGATGTTCCCATTGCCTTGATCCAACCCCCCTTCAATATCAACGCCTTCCACTGATCCCACATCCTCTTGTCTCATTACAGCCACATTCGAACAATCCAAAGCTTCAAACTCCCTTATTCCCTCAGCACCCTTCATTTCAATCCCCTCTAGCCTCCCTTTTTTAAACAACCAACGAAGCTATCTGAAACACTCAAATCCCCTTTCATTAAACCCTTCAACTCCAAAGAAACACCATCTTTCACAGACTCAGCAGAACCAATCTCTGTATCAGAATTACATCGAGTGTTCCTCTTCAACCTCTCATCATTTGCTTCCCCTTCTTTTCCAACCCCATCTATTGGACAATCAAAAACTCCCACCAACTAGTCTTCTGTCTTTCCCTTCAAGGTTATAGCAACCCAGCTCTAACAAATTGCACCCTTCTAAAAACTTCACCACACTACAGTTGACCCCAGAAGAGAAGATAACATGATCAGCCTCAACAGAGTTGCCATAGTTGCTAACCATCTCACCTTCAGCTACCAGCAAAGACTCCTCTTCCAAAACAGAGACCTTTCTTTCCTCAGAGTTTTGAGGATCAAAATCAAAAAAAAAAAACAGAAGCATGCCCCTTGCTCTCCAGAAATTTATTCGACTGTTATTGTATGTATTAGTGAAACCATTATACTTAACTTCCTATCAAAATCATAGTGTAAATATGAAACAGTTTTACTATAACTCGGGAATAAAAGAGAAAAAGATGAGGAAAAAGGAGGGAAAAAGGCAGGGAGATCTGTCTTACACAGTAGAAAACAAGAAGAAAGTAAAAGGAGAGAAAAAAAGGTCTCTAGGAAGAAGATACAAACTTATATTCTTCAACCTATCAACCTGCATTATTATTCTCTTCATTAGAACATGCAAAAATACAAAAAATGCCCCTGTTAAATGATTCTTAACAGTGGAATACAAGGCTACAGCAAATGACTAAAATGCCCCTTATGGGAAAACATTTCAACACTCCCCCTCAAACTGGAGCATAATATCATAGAGCTCCAGGTTGTTACAAACATAATCCATCCTGGTACAACACAAACTCTCAGTAAACAAGTCTACTAGAAGTTCTTCTAACTTGACATAAGGAGTCACAGTATCACCATTTGTCACTTTTTCTCATACAAAATGACAACCAACTTCTATATGCTTGGTCCTCTCATGGAAAACCAGGTTGGAAGCAATATGAGTAACAGCCTGATTATCATAAAACAACTTGACAGGTTTCCCTATAAAAATACCTATCTTGTGAAGAAGATGTTTCAGTCATATCAACTCACAAGTGGTGTGGGCCATTACTCTATCAGCTTCAGCACTACTTCTAGCAACTACACTTTGCTACTTGCTTTTCCAAGTAATGAGATTGCCGCACAAAAAGGTACAGTACCATGTAGTACACCTCCTATCCATTGAGGACCATGCCCAATCAACATCGGAATATCCCTCTAAGGTTAATTCTCCCCCTTTATTGTATAATAATTGAAGAGATGAGAGATCCATCATATGGATGGCCGAACCCTGTAGGGAGGTAGGGCGAAATTTCAAAAATTTCTCTCTCCCATGTGGGAATCACATTCCCTGTTTTAGAAAATCTGCATTTTCAAAGATCAATCTTGAACCAAGAACCGAACCAGATCTGAAACCAAAAGGTAGGAGAGGGATATACCTAATACGGAGTAGCAGTAACTCCCAACGAAGGTGTTCACACCTAAGGAAAACTCCAAAGACTGCTCCCACTGAAGATGACACAGCGTAGGGTGGAGCAAAATCAGCAGGTTCTTCACAAGAACCGAATCCTTCAGCAAGAATTCGATGGAGGGTATGTGAGCACGACTTCAAATCAGCCTTTCTCCAAAGACTGATATCAAGAACACTTCTTGATCGCTCCTACGGTGGAGGTCGAACTGGCAATGGCGGCAGCAGGAGGAAGGTGCAAGAGCAGAAGATGGCGCAGTCTTACTGTAGCTGTCTTCTCTCTTTCTGTGATATAAGATCTGATGTGTATATAATGGTTTGCCCTCCTCCTCCTTTTATAGCCTTAAAGAGAGCTCCTAATCACATTAGGAGTTTCCTAATCCAAATTTGTATTTGGATCAGGAGTTCTCTTTAAGAGATAAGGATAAACCCTTATCTTATCTGCAGATTAGATCAGCCCTCCTAATCTTATTAGGAGTTTCCAAATCCAAATTTTCATTTGGATTTGGACTCTCTGAGTGGATAAGGATAACTCCCTATCCTATCTACTGATCCAAATCCCAGATCCGCCCCCTTCTTTAACTAATCAAATTAGACCAGTTCGAATTGGGCTTTATGCCCATTAAGTCCATGTGCTCACTAACCTTCCAAACTACTGCCCAGTTGGGTTTCCTTGTATGGCGTGGGACCCAAACATTGATCTACACATCAGCCACATGGGTTCAGCCTAGCCTCTATTACAAGGCCTGGCCAAATTCACTGTTATGGGCAGTGAA